TAATTTATTTTTTCCCTCAAAATATAGCCATTAAAAGCTAAATCCCTGGCAACAAAAGTGAGTACACCCCTTAGGAAAAGTTGTCAATATTAACATACAACATGTCAACTGTCAATATTTTGTGTGGCCACCATCATTATCCAAAACTGCCTTTACTCTCCTGGGCATGGAGTTTACCAGAGCTTCACAGGTAGTCACTGGAATGCTCTTCCACTCCTCAATGACGATGTCACGGAGCTGGTGGATATTTGAGACTCTGCACCTCCACCTTCTGCTTGAGGATGGCCCAAAGATGTTCCTATTGGGTTCAAGTCTGGAGACATGCTTGGCCAGTCCATCACCTTTACTCTCAGCCTCTTCAGTAAAGCAGTGGTTGTCTTTGTGTGTTTGGGGTCATTGTCATGCTGGAACACTGCTCTGCGACCCAGTTTCTGGAGGGGAGGGATCATGCTCTGCTGCAGTATTTCACAGTACATGTTGGAGTTCATGTTTCCCTCAATGAAATGTAACTCTCCAATACCTGCAGCACTCATGCAGCCCCAGACCATGACATTCCCACCACCATGCTTGACTGTAGGCATGACACACTTATCTTTGTACTCCTCACCTGGTTGCCGCCACACATGCTTAAGGCCATCAGAACCAAACAAATTAAATTTCGTCTCATCAGACCATAGTACATGGTTCCAGTAATTATGGGCTTTGTTGACATGTCTTCAGCAAACTGTTTGCGGGCTTTCTTGTGTATTGCCTTCAGAAGAGGCTTCCTCCTGGGATGACAGCCATGCACACCAATTTGATGTAGTGTGCGGCGTATGGTCTGAACACTAACAGGCTGAATCCTAATCTCTTTAATCTCTGCAGCAATGCTAACAGCACTCCTATGCCAATCTTTCAAAGAAAGCATTTGGATGTGACGCTCAGCACGTGCGCTCAGCTTCTTTGGACGACCTACCCGAGGCCTGTTCTGAGTGGACCCTGCTCTTTTAAAATGCTGAATGATCTTAGCCACTGTGCTGCAGCTCAGTTTCAGGGTGTTGGCAATCTTCTTGTAGCCTTGGCCATCTTTATGTAGTGCAACAATACATTTTTTAAGATCCTCAGAGAGTTCTTTGACACGTGGTGCCATGTTGGAACTTTCAGTGACCAGTAAGAGAGAGTGTTAGAGCTGCACTACAAATTTGAATACACCTGCTCCCTATGAACACATGGGCATAGTTACACTAATGAGTCACATGACATTTTCGAGAGAAAATGAAAAGCAGTACTCAATTTAGACATTTAGGGGTGTAGTTTCTTAGGGGTGTACTCACTTTTGTTGCCAGGGATTTAGCTTTTAATGGCTATATTTTGAGGGGAAAAGAAATTAACTGTTATATATGCTGCAGACAGACTACTTTTCATTGTGTCAAAAGGTAATTTTTTCAGTGTTGTCCCATGAAGAGATATACTTAAATATTTGAAGAAATATGAGGGGTGTACTCACTTTTGTGATACACTGTATATACAGCGAATAGTGGTACTTGAAAGACATATACAGTGATTAAAGGTTATGTACATGTATATACAGAGAATAGAGGTACTTGATTTTACTATCTATATAATAAATGGGAATGTCAGTGTGTCACTGTGTCACACTTTTTCAACTTTACTCGTAGAGGCCGTAGCCCAACATATCATACCATTTTGGAATCAGGCCGACTCTGTGAGCAAATTAAAAATATTCCAGACGGGATCTGGACCTGCAATCCTGAAATTTGGGATTCCCAAGTTTTCATTACTGGGATTGCTTTTGGCAATTTTTTTTTTTTTTTATACAATTTCTTGCAACAAATCTTTTTGTACAATAACAATTTTTATAACTCATGTAATTGGAGTAGATAGTTTTGCCTGTCATCTGGTTCACACTCCCACACTCGTCCCTGGTCTCTTGAACAGGAGTAGACGTATATTACCTGTTTCCTGTTTAGAATTGTATTTCTATGTCCTCCTTTACTCCCAGTAACTCCTTCCATTTTAGTGTCATTATTGACTTACTTGGGATGAATTGATATACAAAAAATGCTGATGTCTAAGATTACACATTTTAATCATGTAATCTCTACTTTAGCATTATTTCCATGGCAAATGTTCAGATGAGCTCCACATTTTAGTTTCATTATTTCAGATGCTTACATCATACCACATTCATAGTGTCGAATAACCATCATCGTCAACAGCTCACTATGTATGTTGGGTGTTGCTGGCTGGTGACATTGAATATCTCAAAAATCAAACTAGTGCCAGTCTATAATCATCAACAAACCCTTAATTTTTGCCTATTGCAATGGGTAGGTGTTCTCTCAGGGATACCTCTTTGCCTTCAGTGCCTATTGGGATTTAACTTTACCAAAGACCTCAAGTGGAAATTTTTGTACAATAACAATTTTTATAACTTGGAAATAAATTTGGGAATAATCGAAATTAATTGCGAAATCAGCAAAAGTCACTCATGAAATAAAAATAATTGTTTGTATGGAAAGTAAGGGCCTAAAATTCGTCTTTAAATTAAGTGGTGGCAGAATTATTATTGAACTTTTAAAAGGTAAGCTTAAATATTAATGCAATACTTAAATGCAGTGATCAATTTTGAATTCTTTTGTAGTCTATTGTTGCCTGTCACATCTACTCATCCCTACCTATTGTGATAAAGGCTCAATCTAGATCCCTCTGCATGAGCTAGCTTAAATGCTGTCTGATAGGGTGGTTTTAAGCTTGTTTACTTATAATTTTATAAATGTACTTCTTTAAATGGTGTCATGGTACTAAACTAAGACAATAATGTTGCACATCTATATAATTATACATGAATTGCTATACGTTTATCAGTTTAAATTTAAAAAAAAACTCTCACTAAGCAGAATTTTAATTTATAGTTATTCTTGTCTGAACTGCTATAAGGTGATGAACGAGTGTTCTCTCAGGGAGGCTCCATGCTTTAAGCATCTATTGGGACTTAAATTTAACCCTAACCTCAAGTGAAACTCGAACATATGATCCACTGCTAAAGATACTGAAAAATGGTCAGTTCCCTGTACTGCTTCAGTAAGTACCTCTTATTACTATCCTCTACCTTTACAAGAACCAGATCAGACCAAAAATGGAGTATTGCTGCTATATATGTGCAGGAGTTGTCCAGAATTCACTTTCTTGCCTCAATAGAGTCCAAAAGCATCTGTGCGTCAGTGATGATGAAATATTTTCCCCCATACAACCACTTTGCCACAGATGAAAAATCACAAACCTCTCTATTGCTATTTCTATGGAAAGTTTTCAGATAAACTGCATTCTTTAGTTCCACTGATTCTAACCTTCACAGTTAAAAACCGCCATGCCATGCACATTGCAGTGAACAACCGAAATAGAAAATATAAGATCAAAGATTCAAACATGAAAAATCTTCCAGTAATACTAAAGATTTAGCAAAATATCAATTTCATATACACCGAGGTGAGCTTGACAGCTGATCTTTCCTCTGACCAACTGGCTAGTCAGATTCAATAAACCGGAAACCAGACTAGTGATGTTCCATCATCACCAAGCAGAACCTGAATTTTCACCAATCATGATGAACAGGTATTCTCTCAAGGGAGCTCCGTGGCTCGAACATCTCGTAGGACTTAAAATCAAGCAATACCACAAGTGGATCCATCAATAAAGATAATGAAAAAAATGGTCAGTTCATTGTATTTGAAGATGTTTACTAAGCTGAAACGTGTTAAAAGACAAGATGCGTGAATGAAAAGATTAACAATAGTAACGAAATAGAAAATATAAGATTAAAGATTCAAACATGAAAAATCTTCCAGTAATACTAAATATTTAGCAAAATATCAATTTCATATACACTGAGGTAACTCAAGCTTGGCAGCTGATCTTTCCTCTCAGTGGGTGGAAAAACTCGCTGGTCACATTCAATAACTCAGAAAGCAAACTTGTGTGATGTTCCATCATCACCGAGCAGAACCTGAATTTTCACCGATCACGATGAATGGGTATTCTCTCAAGGGAGGCCTTGCAACTTGAGCACCTATTGGGATTTAAACTCAAGTGGAACTTATACCAATGATCGAATGATAAAGATGCTGAAAAAATGGCTGTTACCCTGTATCACTGCTGGTAAGTACCTGACCTCCACCTGCTGTCCTTAACAAGATCAGACGGAAAATAGAGTACAGCTGCTTATGTATAGCAAGGAACTGCCCAGTCTTCACTTTCCAGTCTAGAAAGTTTCCAAAACTGTCTCCACGTCCTTGTGGGTGATGAATTATTTTCAACCCTACAGCCCCTTTACCACAGACAAAACATTGCAAGCCTCATGCTCTGTCACTGTTTCCATGGAAAGTGTTCAGACAAACTACATTCCTTAGTTCTAATCTTCACAACTAAGACCTGCCAGGTGACACAGAGTAGCAAACCAACCTCATTCCTTTTGTATACAACGACAACATTTTCTCATGAACTGCTGCTTTGTAGAACTGACTCCCAAAAGGACACTTCTCCAATCACTACAATCTTAACCTGTTCAAGTCTATGGTCAACCATTATCTTTCCCACAAACTGTGTCTCTTACTATGTAACCCTCTAGCTCAAGTGGTTCTTGGGCCTTCTACGGAGTTAATATAATTGTTTTAAAAAAAAGCTGACTTTGAGTGTAACAGCATTTTCTTGTTACTATTTGATTTAATTAACTAATTTATTTTTTACAGCTTATGAACCCTTTGCACCTTATTTAAAGCCAGAAAATGTTATTAGTTTGTCAGAATTTTGGTGGGAGATAATAATGATTTACTAATTCAAGTCCTATTAATTAACCCATAGCTGAGAGGAGAAGAGTTGGTTCATACCTTTCCTAAGGGTATTTAGGTGTAAATGAATGTAAAAACTTAAATGGAATTGGAACTCGGCTTTCCAATTTCCAATTCTGAGCTGTTATCCATGACACCACCTGAACATCCAAGCTTACAGCATCTGGTGTTCCCAAGTGGTCACCCATCTAAGTACTGACTAGGCCCAACATTGCTTAATTTCATTGGTCATATGAGAATCAGTGCTTCAAAGTAATATGGCTGTAAGCCTTTTGTTACTACTACCCAGTCAGTTAAAATATCTATGGGAGAGTGGTTTATCCATAGGCTCATTCGCTTACTCACTTTTTCTGTTAACCATCATGCCAGTGATGGGATATTTTTACCCCAATATCTGATGGTTTGAGATAGAAGGCAACAAATTGATTTTATATTTAAGGGCATTATTGCGACTGGGAAATAAACAGTTTCAGATAGAATATAAAATTTCTTTGACAATTCTACTTTCTATGTTGATAAACATTATTTGGTGCCACACCTTGAATTTATCAGACTAGTATGAATTCTTTATTTTAATATATTTAAAATAAGCACCTTTTAAAACAATGGCAAAGTTCAAAATTGTAAATGCTTAGGTAAACTCAACTTGGCTACATGAGTTTGGTTATTTATTTATACTGGCATGAGCCACCACTTGCAACAACTCAGCACACAATTATTCCATTCCATCATAGCTGTTTTGCATTCATCTAGATTTTCAATGCCAGTTATTTTGCATAAGTTTTTCCAGGAGGCACAGCAGAATAATGGATTGTGGCTTGGATTGAAGAATTGGAGAACCAATTTTGAATTCTACTTGAGATCATTACATTCACTTATGTGCTAATACCCTTGGGAAAGGTATGAATCTATCTTATTGTGTATATACATAAGAATGTATAAATCTCAGGGATGAGTCCATAGAGCTGTGATTTAGTTGGATGTTGTCTCCAGGAATTGTTAAGTATAGCTCTCAGCATCCAAGTGTAGGTTCCATCAAGCTTAGATTCTAGGGTTTTAGTTAATGTCCAGGCAGTGGGAATATACACTGCCTCTACAATGTCTCAAAAGAATCTCCAGTTGAGGTTGTCTGGTTGATCAGATTTTGAGATTAGATCCATTTTATTCAAGTTGGCCCAGGCTTTACCTATGCAAATTTTTACATCCTTTTCAGTAAAATTTATCTTGCTTCCTCTGTATGTAAAAGATTTGACAGATTTTATTGATTCATCTGAGACAGTTTGTATTGAGCCTTGCTGCTTTTAGAGACATTGACACAGAGTCCAACATCAATGGAAGCATTTATTCTGCTGATAACAATTACACAATAATGATAAATTAGAAAAAAGTTTGTAAGGAGTTTAATACATCAATTTATCAACAAAAGCAAACATATTAAAATAGTTTTAGTTTGGTGAAGTCTCTGCTTGAAACATCTCAGAACACTGTCTCCAATTATTCTGATCCATCGTAGATCTTTTGAGTTCGTCCAGATTTTCAATGTCAATATTTTACATAAGTGTATCTGCAGATGTCACAGCTTGCTGACACCTGTTCTTATATCCTGTAGGTGGTTGCCTTAAAACAAATTTTGAGTTCAAATGTAAATATTCTGGTGCATACAAGAGAGTGAGACTGTCCTGGGTAATGTAAATGTATAAATATATGTATTTAAATATAGTGGTTACCTGCTTAATAATGTGGGTGAAGTCAGATATGTATGTTTTCAAATGTAGCAGCCACCTGCTCAAAAATGTGGTAAAAGAAAGAATGTATGTTTTAATTTCAATGCAAAACTGTGTGGACATTTAAGGTTGCCAGTGGATTATGCATGCGTTGTATTTTGGGTTTGAGTATATAACAATGATTGCACTGGAGAATGGATAAGATTAATTCATCAATTCTGATTTAGGTTGATTTTCTAAATATATAGAGACCTGCATTGAAATTGCCACTCTGCTTCTGATTGGCTCATGATTTTATATCCTGGCTGGGAACAGCTCTTTTTTTTATTTGCTCACTAGAATAGGATCATTGTCAGGATGGTTTCTGATTGGTTGGTCAAAATGTGGTTTTATGACCTAGTGATTCTGAATATACATCTACTTTTAGAGATGGTAAAATTTGGTCCCCTTGTTATTATATGTTCATTTTTATTTATTTTTCTATCACTACAATTTTATCAATGACTAACCAGGTTACCAGGTTTGCCAGATCTCACATGTCTCAATCCCCTTTGAGAAGCAAGGGTGGCACTCCTGACTAAGTATATTTACCCTTGTCTCCCCACTGAGAAATGACATGAAAAAAAGTTGGGTTTAACATAGGGAACCCAAGAACATACACTCAGCCATGGACAAACCATCAACTCCATAACCATCAGTTATAACTACTGATCCCCCCTCTCTAGTGCAATATATGGGTGCAGCCTCAGAGGACCAGGTACTTCACAGTGTTTATTTTCCTCAGCTGCATCTCTGTCCATGGACAGAACACAACTGAGCTGCACTCTGCCCAAAGACAAAGATGTAACTGATTGATGATAAATCTCTACCAAGCACGTGCCAGGCACTTATCACTAAGTGTGTGAGCTTCACTGTCATGCAGAGTTGTCCACCAAAATCAAATTTACACAAATGATTCCATCAAACTCTGACTACTCTTCAGGAGTAGGCTGGACCATCTCTGCCATCAGATGGGAAAAAGCAAATAAAGAGAGAGAATGATGATCCCGATGCAAGTGGATGCCAACTACTATAAATGACTCATGAGAATCTCATGAACAGAACATGTGAGAAATTATGAAAATTTAAGAAAACAAATAACTACAATGAATATATTGCTTCAGTTATATTAGTTTGGTCAGAAACTCCTTAGGAAGCAGAAAGAAAACAACAAAATTTTATGGAGCAAGACCAACATTTATTCTTCAAAATAAAGTCCATCATTTTTAAGGATCTTCTGCCAGTGATCAGCCAGCATCTGAATCTGTCCCAAATATCAGTCGACTGGTTTGAACCAAAAAACTGTAAACAAGCTTCCTTCACTTCATCAAAAGTGTTGAATCGCTGGTGGTGGAGGAAGTTTGCCATTGAACAAAATAGACCACAGTCACTCAGAACAACATCGGGATTGAATGGTGGATGTGGAAGAACCACAACACTGTCCATCTGATTGAACTTCTCCTTAGTCAACCTGGCAGTCTGTGGGCTTACATTGTCTTTCTGAAACAAAGCTCAACCTCAATTGACCAAAACAGTTTCTTTAGTTTGCCATACATGCAGGTTAGTTGCTGGCAATAGATTTTAATGTTGATGTCATGACCATGTAGAACATGCTCAAAATGCAATTCTCCTTGGAAATTCCACCTGATAGAAATCAAGATTTGTTGTTTTCTTTCCTACTTCCTAAGTGAGTCAGGACTTTCTAGCTAACCAAATATATATATATATATATATATATATATAAGTGAACATTGAAGTCAACACGGTCTGTTTCATACTAGACACAATCGTCAGGCTATATAAGAGGTTGGGTAACACATAGCAATTCTGGCATATAAGAGGATGGATAACACATAGCAATCCAGCACTTTTTTCTCTATGTCAGGAAAAGGATAAAAAAGAAATATAAGGTAGGGGCTTTACTGTGCAAGGTCATTGGATACGAATGGGGAATTATTTTAACTTATTAAAAGAAAGATAAAGAAAAGACATTCTATCATTCTCATCTGATGGCCTGACGATTGTGTCTAGCATGAAACAGACTGTTGCCTAAGTGTTGACTTCAGTATTCACTTTTATAATTACACACGCACTATCTCTGATATTGAGCACTTTATACCATAAATATAGCACACCTTAAGACTATATATATATATATATATATATATATATATATATATATGGCCAGCCTAGTATATAAAGCAACTAATCATTTAAGTAGAAAAATTCCTAAAATTAAAGATTCTGCTGCTTCAATGCTTACTTATTCATGCATATATTCACAAATTTCAATTTCACAAAGAACTCAGATCTTGTGCTTTGCCTGTTTATGTAAAATGGTTATTTTACCGCTTAACTAATTACCAGAAAATCAGAAATGTAATAATTGTGCCATTTGCACATTAAACAGGAAGACTTTCTATGCACACTTTTCAAAAAAATGAAATTAATCTCAAATAAAGGATTGGGAAAGAAATTAGAAAATGAATATGCCAGCGGATATTAGATGTATTCATGATGTAATGACAGATGAGAATAAAAGAATGTCTTTTCTTTATCTTTCTTTTAATAAGTTAAAGTAATTCCCCATTCTTATGCAATGACCTTGCACAATAATAAAGCCCCTACCTTATACTCCTTTTTTTATCCTTTTCCTGACATAGAAAAAAAAGAGCTGGATTACTATGTGTTATCCATCCTCTTATATGCCAGGATTGCAATGTGTTATTCATCCTCTTATATGCCAGGATTGCTATGTGTTAATCACCCACTTATATGCCAGGATTGCTACGTGTTATCCATCCTCTTATACGCTAGGATTGCTATGTGTTATCCATCCTCTTATATGCCAGGATTGCTATGTGTTATTCAACCTCCTATATGCCAGGTTTGCTATGTGTTATTCAACCTCTTAAATGCCAGGATAGCTATGTGTTATCCAACCTCTTATATGCTAGGATTGCTATGTGTTATCCATCCTCTTATATGCCAGGATTGCTATGTGTTATCCATCCTCTTATATGCCAGGATTGCTATGTGTTATTCAACCTCTTATATGCCAAGATTGCTATGTGTTATTCAACCTCTTATATGCCAGGATTGCTATGTGTTATCCATCCTCATATATGCCAGGATTGCTATGTGTTATCCATCATCTTATATGCCAGGATTGCTATGTGTTATTCAACCTCTTATATGCCAGGATTGCTATGTGTTATCCATCCTCTTATCTGCCAGGATTGCTATGTGTCATCCATCATCTTATATGCCAGGATTGCAATGTGTTATTCATCCTCTTATATGCCAGGATTGCCAAGTGTTATCCATCCTCTTATACGCGAGGATTGCTATGTGTTATTCATCCTCTTATATGCCAGGATTACTATGTGTTATCCATCCACTTATATGCCAGGATTGCTATGTGTTATCCATCCACTTATATGCCAGGTTTGCTATGTGTTATCCAACCTCTTATATGCCAGGATTGCTATGTGTCATCCATC